GGGTCCCTATATTGGTTGGTCGGTAGGCACTACTGTATTAAATGTCATTCATTCATTATTTCCCCTGTTTCTGCTATCAAGATACCCAGGGCTTAGTGCTGTGTACTGAATGGCAGGATTAGTGCTTATGTGAGTATTTGGATTTAGGCAACTTCAGTATTTGCAATTGTTAATGGATTCCCCTTCATGTTTTACGTTAAAGTGCCATTCATAAAAGCTTTATAAAGGGGTAATAAATGATTAACAGATGTTTTATGAAATGGTTAATCAATTATGATAGAGCCAATAAATCAGTTGGTCATAACTCAGACTGGGAAGAAAAGATTTTCCTGCCCTGTGCCAATTTTGGACATTTTGAAAAATTTTCCCCATCTTCAATTGGGCCAAAAAGTCACAATCTGGAAAAGTCACCTCGACTCAAAGCAACGGAAACTTTATTTTAAACCAAACACTTTTCAAGTCGGATGCTTCACTGAACCCGAGGCTTCTTCGCAAATTGGAGTTTTTCGGTGAAAATTATTTAGTTGAAAAATCCCCAACCTGCTCTTATTAGAACCATCTGTAACGCTTCCTACTGATGTGCTTATACCCGTCCATAAATACATACTAGAACATCTAATGCTCATTTCTAAACTCTTTATGAATGAAATCTTAATCCCATTGCAAGCAGAAAGAAATGCTGCAGATACTGGGGAAATGTAACTATTTATCTTAGGTAAAATGTTTTTTAAAGCCACTATAAAGTTTGTCCAAATCCCTCATCTGGATAATTTTGTTTTAAATCAACATCTAGACACACAGGTGAAATACTGGCCCCATTGAGTTAAATGGCAAACCCCATTGACTTCAACTGACCAAGGTTTCATCATGGGATCCAATCCTGCTGGCACTGAAGTCAACGAGAGCTTTGCCATTGATTTGTATGGAAGAAAGTCTAGGCCAATAAACAACTATTTTACATTCATAAACTCTCATTTAAGTATCCCTGGGTGAGATTTTGGATGTAATATTTAGGAGCTTACCTTTGGAAATTGAGCCAACAGAACTAACTTATAAATCACCTACAATAATAACTAACCATTACAGAATCATAGATTAGTTTAGAATAATTAGATGTTTCCAATATTATCTGGTCTCTCCACATTAATTTCATGCTAATAATGCCAATACAATACATATCAAGACTGTGGGCCTGTTTGTGTGCATCTCTATGTGGATCTCAGCCAGAATATATCTTCTAAGCAATTGTCACTAAATCTGGCACATGAAGAAACCAAACTATAAGCAGAATAAGAGGAAGATTAGTAGGTTTGGAAAATAGTTATTAAAAACATACAAGTGTGGGAAATCTCATACAGCTAAAAGAAACTGAAAGAGTATAGAAACTGAGTTTTTCCCCACCCCCTCTTCTCTATGTTGTCACACTAATTAACGTGATCTGGTTAACTTGTATGAAAACAATCTGCATACCCATTGTAACTCATACTGTCTCCATTCTGCTGTGTTCCCTTAACTTCTGTATTTTTCACCTCCTTAAAGGTCTGATCCTATTCCCACAGAATTCAATGGCAAAACTCCCACTGACTTCAACGGTGTAGGACTGAGCCCTTAATACTTAGGTAACAACTAATTTAATTTATAATTATACTGTCAAAGAGTTGGGTTTTTTTTATTTCTAGTAAAAAGTTAGTAATAAAATGAAACCATATAATAATTAGATCAAGTGGGTATATTCACAATAAATTGGCTTTTCATTTGTATACATTTCTGAGTATGTATCTCTCTATCTATCTCTGGGCTGGAACCATTTTTCCAAGTAGTTCTTACTCATGCAAAGAGTCCCAGTCAGCCAGATCCCCTCCACTTGGTGGAAATCAGCATTGCTCAGTGCATTTCAACAGAGATTTTGCAATGTGCCCCAGTTGCAAATCTGGCTCAGTGACTACACTGTGACATCTTATTTCAATAAGGTAGTTTCATATGAGTAAAGGCAGCAGGACTGGGCCCCTTTTCTAGCTAAACGTTCAGAAGCCATGAAAACAGACATATATAAGGCACAACCTCAAAAGCCAAGCGTACGGCAACTTAGGCAGGTGTTTATATTGTGACATTTCATCATATTTTCCCTTCACTACCATAATAGCAAGGAAGTATGTTCTGAAGACGCATTTTGATTTTTTTTTAAAAGAAGACACATTACATTGCTTTTAATCCCACAAAGTACTAAAACTTGCAGCTATATTTTTACCAATGGATTAACATGACACACACATACCAAGGCATGAGACCAAAAAAAAACCACAACCGTTTTTAATTTTTTTAGCTGAACCTTTTCCTTTCATTTCAGCTTCAGAGAGTTCTTTCCTTGTTTCCTGAGCGTTTGAAAACAACGCCAAGCTTCCACTCTCACAAATTCTGCTTCAAACTTTACTTGTAGCTGCAGTAATTAAACTCATGTCCTCTACACAGGCCTTAAAGGGAAGTTACAGAAGTCGCTTTAGCGAAATATAAGATTTGCCCTAGAATACACTCTCCTTATTAACATGGCAAGAGAAGAACTTTGCCAGTATACTCAGTTTTCTAATATATCAGATACATTTCCAGTGTTTCTGAATGAATATCATGGGGCTTGTCAATATGTGTAGTATTCTCATGCATAAAAGTCTAAACATTTGACTCCTGGGAAGTGCCCTGTTAAACAAGCCCACTGGCCCACAAACTTGGGTGGCCACTGATGCATCTCCAGCATACTGGACATTATGGTACTTCCAGGAAGGGCATGGGCCCACCCTCACCTATGTGACTCCGCCCTGCCACCCGGAGGATGAGATTTTGAAGAGCCGCTGGCATGACCTCATATGCGGTCACACCTCCTGGGGCAGAGTGGTGCGCTCTTTGGTGTTGCCCATCCAGGATACGGCACAGGGGACAAAACCATAGGAAAAAAGAGGACTGTCCGGCTTAATGTGGGACGAACGGCTGGCCTCCCACCAGCACACCCCTGCAAAGACACAAACTAAACAACTCGCAGAACCTGGGAAAATGAGCCCCAGCATTGAACACTGAGAAACCTGCAAAACTGCTACTGACTTTAGTGGCAGCAGGATCTGGGCCCATTTTCCTGGTTTGCCAAGGGCCTGATCCAAAACCCCTTTAAAGCAGTAGGATTCTTTCCATTGGCTTTAAACGGGCTTTGAAGCAGGCCATCCTGAGGGTCCAGCTCTGCCACGTAGGTAGCACCCATAGTAAAAGGCAGCAAGCAGGCCTGGAGGAGCTGTGCAGGGAATCACAAGCCCGCCCTAGCAGCCACAGGGAGCCAAAGCCAGGGAATGAGAGAGAGGGAAATGTCACCTCTGCTGATCTGCTTTCAATGTCAATGCTTTTAAGAGAATAATTTCCAGAGTAGATACAAAACTTCTTAACTATTATCTGTAGCTACATCACACAATGATTATGGTACCAGTGAGCTACTGGCTCTCAGCAGAGAACTTACTTGCCGCCCTTTGGTGAATTATTATGCATACACCTGATTCAGGGAATCCCTGTAAATCCCCATCTATCCCCTCTGCCCAACTGGCATCAAGAGGTCCCTGGGGCGATGCAGTCTGGAGGGGAGGGTGGGCCCATGGGGTGCTGTGTCTGTGGGAAAGTAGCAGTTCCAGGACCACTCTTGCTTCCATCCTTATGCTGGGGGGAGAAAGCTCCTTGCTCTCCGAACATCCTCCCAGCACTGCAGAAGGATTTGAATGGGAAATAGAACAAGAGGGACTCCCATTCCACCCCAGTACCTACTAAAGGCCACATCCTGTGGTTCTCACCCAAGTCAACTCCTGCTGAAGTCAAGAGAAGTCCTGCCTGGGTGAAGACATCAGGAGCAAGGCCCCACTCCCTGTCTTAACAAGAAGGTGCCCCCTCTCCCCACCTTTCCAGCCCTTCAGGGTTACTTCCAAGACTGGGACTCTGCAGATATGGGTTTGATTCCCCGTGGGAGCTTGGCTAAGTCACCTAGAATGAAATCATGCCCTCACTGAAGTGAATGGGAGTTTTGCCATTGAGCCCAATGGGACCAGAATTTCGCCGTTAATCTCTGGGTGCCTCAGTTCCCCCGTCTGTGCAATGGGGTGAAAGGGTGAACACACGGAAGATTGGGAGGTGCTCAGACACTGCAGTGATGGGGGGCTGGTAAGCTCCTTAGATAAATACTTTGGGTGCATTTGAGATCATATGAAAGAAACCAGGAATCCCCATTTTTAAAGCTACATGGAGGGGCTTGGGGAAGTGGTGTGGAACAACCCAGCAGATATCCCGCTGGGACATACTGTGTGTGCAGAGTTCTGTGTGGCAAATACAGCCTGTGTGCCCGTGAAGAATCCACCAGCTCCAGGGGCCACTTAAGGCCTTTCAGGAACCCGAATCCCGTTAGCTTTCCACGGGCTCCCGAGTGCACAGGGCCCTTCTGAAACTGCAGCCCTTGCAACACTTGTAGTTGTCCCCCCGGCCTCTAGCCTTAGCAAGGCGGTGGGCTCCACACAACAGGAAACAGACACAATCTCACCCGCTGGGGGTCCGGCGGCGCCCCCAGAGTGTCCCGAACACAGAGCCGCAGCCCAAACACGAGGGGCGCGGCTGAGTGAGAAGCGACGGAGGGAAATAGTCCAGTGCAGCGAAGCCAGCCCTGGCCAGCTGCTGGCCATCGCCCTTAGCCCGTCGGTAGCCGCGTGCATGCGGGAGTGCGCGTTTGGCCGGGGGCTCGGGCACACTGTGGCTGCGCTCCAGCAAAGCGATGCACCTGATTGCCACGCACCGGCCCTCGCTCCCCCGGCCCCGCAGCTCCGTTCTCAGATCGCTTCTCCCCGCGGATCAGACCCGGACCTGCGGCCTCCAGGACAGGCCTTTCTCCGGGCAGAGATCGCGCTCTGAAAGGACCGGGGTGGGGGCTGGCCGGCCGATCTGTCCGTCCGTCCTGCCGCCCGCGGCGGAGGCGATCGCGCTCAACTTACTTCTCATAGTCGAGCTTGCAGTAGAGCTTCTTGTCGCGGTAGAAGCAGGTGGTCTCCAGAGGCTCCTTGCAAGAGGCGCACTGCACGCACTGCTCGTGCCACAAGCTGTCATTGAGCCGCAGCAGAAACCGGTCCGAGATCACCCTCTGGCAGCCCTCGCACACCGACTTGGGGCTCACGGCTCTGCCTGCGATTAAAGAAACACAGAGAGGGGTGGCATCATGGGCAAAGAGGCCCCTTCCCCCGGCCTCCCTTCCCCAACGACCCCAGGCTGTGGGTCTCCAATGAGTCACGAGCCACTTCCAGAGGCTCGTTGGGCTTCTTCTTCTTGGAAGAGCGGGGGGCCTGAGCAAACCAAAACGATCGTTCCAACGGCAAGGGGATGTTTTCTGGGCAGAGAAATGATCCGGTGAACTTATTTCACCAGAGCAAGGATTCCCAGGCCGCCCTGACACAAACCCGTGGGATTTGCATACACGCGCCTTAGACACCACGCAAGGGGGACACACAGGCGAGAAAATACACTGCCCGCTGTCTGGTGTGTCCCCTCCGCAACTGAGCGGGTGCGAGTCAGACTCGAGTCTCAAGAATATTTTGTCATTTTTTCCCTAAACGAATTTGTAGGAAAATAACAAAAATAGTTGACCTCCCAAAGATGGCAAAAGATGATCGGCAGGAAATCCACTATGGAGATAAACATCTCGATGGGAAGCGGTTAGTTTTTCAAAGAATTAACCTTCCTTATTTAAATTCGTGTTTATGCTCACGAAAGCGCCCCCCGCCCCCAGGTTAGGAGCTATCCCCCACTTACCCCCGTGACACATTTTTTTAAAAAGTGGTATTAAAAGAATGCAATGTTTGGGGTCGAAATAATCCTAAAGGAACCCGTTTGACTCACGAGATGAGAGAATTTATAAATCAACAAAAACTAGGAGCAGATATCATCAAAGGGGAAATGTTGTGCCTCGTGCTAATAGAGAAGTGAAATGAAGACGAAAAAGAAAACACTTCAGCTAATTAAAAGTAGAAATTTCACTCGTTTGAATTTTAAGATTTTTTATCAACAGTTGAACTGTGATACTTGAACACGAATTTAGTTTTAAGTCATCTATTCTGGAATTAGGTATTTCTTACAAGGACTAAACGTTCTTCAAAATGTGGGTATTTTCCTCTTAAACTAATCTAGATAGATAGCTAGATATATAGATTTAGATTTCACAAATATGTAGTGTGTATATCTTATATGTGCACAGTATATATGTGAGTATATATGTATGAGTATGAGTATATATATATATATATATATACAACATTTGTGTGTTATAGATCTATAGTTAGAAACAAAAATTAGTGTAGCTAATATAGAGAAACGGGCTATAGAATAACAGGAATGGTATCTGAGATGGTAAATTTGTACACATTCCATCGGTATAAATTCCACAATGCTATCGGCACCAATCTGAGATTTCCAACACTGTAATTATTATGTTTATTATTATTACTAATCAAAGCAACAAAGAGAGAGCGATCTAAGCGGTTCATTTTTTTTTAATCCATTAATTTTATAACGCTAACATCGCAAATTAGGTGGATATTTTTCATTTCTTTTAAGAGTGGGGAAGACAATTAAAAAACAAACGATTCAATGAAAAATCGCCCGTTTTCCTGAATCCTAGCCTAATATTCTGGAAGGCAATTTTCAAATAGTTTTTATTTTGATTTTTCAAGGCCTGTTTAACAAAAACAAAAGACAATCCCGGGTGAAGAAAAAAGCAGAATCCCCCGCCTGCTCCACGCACAAAGGCTGCGGATTTCGATCCCTGGTTCTTCTACACTTGATTTTATTTGTAACTTTCTCACAGGTGGGAAATGAGTTCTAAACTGGGGGGAGGGGAGGTAATGTATGCACCTAACTGGGCTGTTTATTCTTGGTCACTGGAACCAGGGCGCGTGCCCACCGGAGTGAAATCGTGCAAACTTTTGCTGAGGCTCTGGCTAAATCCGATTTCTTGCCTTCTCGCTCTGAGAACGTCAGCGGCACATTCACACATGCGTTCGGTAGCGGAGTGCGGGAAGGGCAGGGAAGAAAAGGCCCAATTTAACCGCAGCTTTAGACTGGACCGAGATTTCAGGGGGAAGCTGGAGGGGCGTCAGATTTCACCAGGGGCTTGAAATCAACCATTGCCCCAGAGAGCGCACGAAACCGAGCCGAACCCCTGGTCTCTTACCGGGGCAGCAAGGGAGCTGCGCAGCGCCTCACGCCCTCGTAAGACTCAGCAGCCTTTTCTTTTCCCTGTCCAACGGGTGGGATGCGGGGCCCCCCTCCCGGCCCCCTCAACCCTGGGGCGAGATCAGCACGGGAAGTTTCTTGCAACTTACCCAGCAAGGAGGAGAACGGGGCCGAGGTCTCCAGCGCGTTCTGCAAATTCTCTTCCATTTTCAACCCGTCTAACATGGTGAGGGACCGGGAGGGGAGTCAGCCCGGCTGCAAAACAGCAATGGACACGCGGCGCTTAGACGCACCCCAGATCCGGGCTGGGGCCGAAATTGACAAGGCGGGGGGGAGAGGGGAAGGGCGGGGGAGGGGGGTCGCTACTCGATCAGATTTTGTCCTAGGCCGGTTGGCTCGTTGCAAGAACTCCCTTGGCCCCCACCTCCGGGGATCCAGGGCTGCATCTTCCCAACTGGTCCCCTCCCAGCGGACCCCGCTTCAGCTCCATCCCCTCTTTGCAGGCGAGGCGAGGATCCATCTCTACCATCGCTCCGAGAGGGACCCAGGGCAATCAGAAAGCCGCTGGGGAGCCCCCCAAAGTCCCCTCGCTTTGCGCCCAGCCCCATCCCAAGGCAGAGCTCGCTTACCTGGCCGGCGGGGGAGACAGTTGCAAAGTAGCAGCAAAGGGGGAATCCCTGGTTCCTGCGGGCAGACGCGCCTGGGGGGCCTTGGAGGAAAGGCCGATTCCTCCCCTGGGCCGGCAGCCCCCGCAGCAGCCCCCCGGCTGCTCTTCGGCAGGGCTTTGCCCCCTCCTCGCTCCCAGGGGCCGGCAGAGCCTTCCTCCTCCGAGACCGACTCGGGCCGCTCTCCCCGTGGGTTGCGCTTTTGCAGAGCGAACCCGGCCGGGCCAGCTGTGTTTGCTCCTCGGGGTGGGGAGCTGCAGGTGAGCGGGAGGCGGTTACCCGGAGTTGCTGGCATATGTCTGCTTCTCTCTCGGGTAGGTGGCTTCCCCTAGCAGTTCTCCTCGGGCCCTACGCTGCGCTAACCTGGGGGAAAGCGAGCTCGGGGCTTAGCTCTCTCCCTGCTGCGGGAGCTGTTCTCATTTCCTGACTCTGGTACCTCCCAGTCTCATCTCTAAGTTTCCTCCCCATCTGCAACTCTCCTGCCTCACCGCACCCTCTCTCTCTCCATACTAGCCTGCTCCCTGTCTCTGCAAACGCAGCTCCGAAATGAAGAGAGATGACATAGGGTGCAGTAAAGACGTGTAAAGCACCCACGCCGCATGCATATTTAATAGTAGGGGAGACACCCTACACCCATGCAATATTAGGGTGGTACATCTAACCACTCACAGCCGGGAAATGCTCAAGTTAAGGTCGAATGTGCAATCTTAGCATCCCAGTGTATGCACTAGGATACAATCTTTGGGGGAAACCCGAGCTCCCTTGAAATCAATGGCAAACTCCCATTAACTTCAGTGGGGCCGGAATTTCACCTTTAATTTCAGGGTCGCGCTATTCTTCAACTAATATTGTATACCTTACATTTAAAAAAAACCTTTAACTAGACGTGTGTAGCATTTTGTATTCCTACTTCAGCTGTACAAACAGTGCCTGATAATCATCGATAGGGAAAGCACCCAGGAAAAAGTAGTTAGGCGACATATTTCAGACACAGGACAGCAAAGCGGAGCCAAATTTTAACGTCTGAATTCAGTTTTTGCCTGATCTGGAGCTAAGTAAATCTCCCATTCATTTTAAGGGCAGCTGTATCCAAAACATGCAAGGTTTAATATCTTGAAAATATACTGTAATTATTTAATTCAAGGAAATAATTAGTTCTTGGGAAAACACATGTCAGACAATGAAACAATCAAATCAGTTTGCACCTTGACAGCTTAGAAATACCGTCTTAATGGGAAATACACCCTGCCTCGAAAATTGTCAGTATCAATGTTTTCATCTGCTATAGGAAATTAAAGAAACCGTTTTACAATATTATCATCATTTCATTTTGTATTGCAAAGTACTCAAAACATTTTGGATTTCGCTAAAGAACTTGGGGCTAGGCCTGCTCAGAAAGAAATATTGGACCAACTCTTCATATTAAAGATACATTTTAATAAATTATCATATATACTGCTATTATATGGACTGATAAGGTTATTATTTGATCATGCATAAATGTATCTTCATCCAAAGAGGGAAATCACTGGATTTTGGATGCACAGTGTTCACACCATTATTTAATGTCATGCTTTGGGGGGGGGGGACCCTTTTTAAAAAACCCAAGTCAGTCCAGATATTCTGTAACATTAAGATAATGAACTCAGAAAAAATTAAGATACTAATATATGACAAGATATTAAACATGTTTATCCATGGCATCTACATTACATTCCTTAATAATATGTTACATTATATATTATTTGAGACATAATCTGTGATCACTTAATTAAAGGCTATTGTTTACATACACTTAAGATGGCATTTAAATTTGTACAGGCAACTTTAACCCCAGCATTTCCTGGCTTTTAAGTACTTCTCAGAGCCATTTTAAATGTGCATTATTTGCATTTAATTATATCACATTTTGATTATCAACCACTTATAATAGTACAAAGACAAGGCATATTTCCACTAGTTGTGTTTCAGTAGTGCCTAGATGTTCCAACAGATGTCAGGGTCCCATTGTCTGAGACCCTGTAGAGAGTAGAATGGATTCGCAAATGTTCCTTGAAACAGTTTTCCTCTGGAAAATGAAATTTTAACTTAGTTGCAATTTTTCATGAAAATGTATCAATTTGGGTGAGAATTGTGTTTTAAAAAGTGGTAAAACAATTTTCAAAATGTTGAACATCCCATTTTGACATTTTTGAACTGAAAAGTTTTGATGGTTCATTGCAAAGTGCCTTTTCATCTTGCATTGTATTTTAGAAATATATCTATATAATAAAAATAAAACAAATCCCCCTAGCAGTAAAATGTTTCACATTTTTTGAATGTGTTTGGGGCCATTCAACATATTTTGATTGGCCCCAAACAATTTTTTATTTGGTTTTGCCATGCTTTTTGAATTTTTGGCTTTTTACTTCAATTTGGGACAACTTTTTGTTTCAAAATCTCAACATTTGTCATAGGAGAGAAAATCCATTTTCTGACCAGCTGTACCAGTAACAGACAGGTTACCCTAATCCTGAAGATCTTAAAAGCTAAACAAACAAGACTGAGGATGGGTTTGAGGAGAATCTAAGGCACCTCAAGGTGAAATGACTTGCCCAAGTTCACACGGCAGTCCAGTGGCAGAGCTGAGATGAGAACCTACGTAACCAGCGTCCCAGGTTATTCCCCCAGCCCTGCTACCTCTCACAATAATTTAACACATAAGAACAAGAGGTGGTACAAAAAATTATTTTTATTCACCTGGCAGGTGTGCCTTGTTCATACGTCCACAGTCTCTAGATTTGGGGTGAGGAACAGGGATGGTGGAACTAGAGATGCTGTCACACCCCTGGTTTAAAGTGGTTTCCATCACATACAGGGTTTACAGTTTGCTTCAATGGCTTTCCGCACCCCCACTACACACATTGTTCCAACTCCACTGGCAGGGAAAGAATTTTTCCGCCAGGTCAGATAGGCAGAGATCTTGGAGGGGAGGGGTTTCACCTTCCTCTGCAGAATGGGGGATGGTTCACCAATTTGTATCATCTGGGCATCTCTCACCTAACTAATTACTGGCCATTGCAAGTGGCACCTGGGTCTCTCCTATTCTCTGCCTATGGCACATAGTTTAGTTTCCTAAGAACTGAAATGCTTTGGTCTAACTAAAATTGTTCAGCTTATCATAGGGGTGCAGTTTAATGGCCTGTGTTATGCAGAAGGTCAGACTAGATGAGCTAATGATCCCATCTGCCCTTAAAAATCTACAAAACTATGAAACAAAAGAGCAGAATTCATTTTAAACTTGCAACCTCAACATTGTATTTTCAGACTTTTGAATGGCGGGTTTCTCCATTTTCCTTAACATTGCATTAATGCTGGGTCTTTCTTGGACACAAAGTTGTAGCCAAGGCCCGATACCCTGTGGCAAGCTGGAGCTAAACTCCGTGGCAAAATCCCTGGATTCTGCAGCGCTCTTGTTCAGCAGACTGGCAATTTGGTGGCAGGGTCAGACAAAGTAAGAAATAGAGGTTGATGTTGATTGAGATATGAAAATAAATAATACACTCAGTGCAATACTTCTTGGGATATTTAGTTTGATATTAAATTTAATTAATTTGATTCTGCCCCCAAATATGTAATTTTTAGTGTGCTACAGAGTATTGTGTTGAATATATATAAGTGTAGATGCTATCAGGGGGAAGCTGAAGGGAGTGGCAACTGGTTAAGGGGCAAGCTGAGGTTTTGGCATTTGACATGGGGAAGTGTGGCAGGCAGTTTGGGGTTAGCACATTAGCTAGATATGCCTGCTAAAATAACCAGCAGTTAAATAGTTAACAGTGTTCACACTGAAATTGCCATCATTGAGTTTCAAACCTCACACCCCTTTGAGATGAATGGGTCATTCACCCCTCTCAGAGCCAGCCTTTTGGGCTGACTGCAGACTCAGGCAGACAGGACTGCATTAGTTACATAGTGGGTGATTGGAAGGTTATCTTAACACAACCATAAGGGCTAGACTCCCAACCCCCACCCCAAAAACTATGATTCTGGAGCTGAATTTGCATGGCAAGGTGTGGAGTCTTCGGCCAATTCTGTGGCTCTGGGATCTGAATACCGGACTATAGTTCTTGAGAAATGTGGCACTTTCTGGTGCTGTCTAAACAATTGGTCCTTTCAGGAGTATTTGGAAGCATCTTCTTGTTCTCAGAAAGGAACCTGCAAAGGAACTCTGTTCTCCAGTTACACTGACCTCATTTACCTCATCCGGTGACTGGACAACAGTGCATCTCTCTCTGACCTCAGCCAGGATACAAGCTCCAAACAATATTTTGCTAGGCCCAGAGCAAATTCATAATCTGGGCCCCCAGCCCGTCCCACACAGACAAGCTAATTAATGAAAGAAAATACTGTCTTAGTTCTGGAATGGCATAGATCAGTCTTATCACTTTACAACTTTACCTTTCTGCCCTTTTTCATTGCACTATTACAAACGACCTCACTAAAGTGAATTTCTCTTGTGAGTTCACATTCAATAGACAAGACAGCATGGTGACTGGCACAGAATAGATGGTCTGCAGTTTCTGATGAATGCCGGCTTGCTGGAACTTCTTTCGGCTTCTGCTGCAGTCATTGTCAATGTGCAAAAAATGTGTAGGGCTATGCACGGCTTCAGGGAAAATTAGTTGTAGTTTTTTGTTGTAAATCTCATTAAGTGGGGGCGGTTCAAGGTCTTATCCAAAAGTAGACTTGAATATTTGTTTTCAGTCGCAACATTTTAAGTGGAAAGTTCTCCAAAAGATCCATCGGATACTTAAGAACTAGACATTAAGATGCGTCTTCTGGTCAGGGCCGGCTTTAGGGGTGGGCGACTGCCTGGGGACACCATGGTCAAGGGGGCACCATGCAGCAGTGCAGAGGTGTGCACTGCCGGTGTAGTGTCAGAAACTGCTCCCAGCTGGTAAGGGAGCACTGCCTGGGGGCGGGGAGGTGCCCAGATTTTTCCCTGCTTCCTCCAGGTGAAGAAACATGTGTGAGGGGAAAGTAGTGATGCACAGATACAGCTCCCCCCACATTCCTCTGTACCCCCGAGGGGGTTGTGAGAAGGGGAGCTCTAGCAGCGATGGCCCAGGCACGGCTTGGCTCAAGGCACCTGGAAAGGAAAAAGCTTTAAATGTTTTAAATATTCCCCATTCTTGCATCTCCTCCCTCCCACCTTTCCCCTGAGAGATCAGTGACCTGGTCACAGCCTCTCCCACTTTATTAGTTACACTCCCAAGTCATTAGCAACGGGACCAAAGCCTGCTCTCTGCTAGCGTTTCCCAGGAACTCTCCCCCACTGGAGTCCCACCATTGTAGTGCCGCTGGTGAGAGCCCTAGTTTAGACAAGACACCTGTGTTTGCTTACCCCGTCTCAGCTAGACTGGCACTGATTAAGTCTACTGTAGTGCTCCCCCAGTGATGCTGTGCAGTGAAGCCCTCCAATGAAGGATTGACGCTAACGGCTCACTCTCTGCCCTGTTCCTTTGCATGTATGAATCATGCCAGCACTTTCATAATCCCATTGATCTTGGATATTGCACCCCAACGGGATGGATCAGGGTGTTGGGTACAGCGTCCGTGGCACGTCATACCAATGGGCCCCTTGGATCATCCATGGATCT